TAGATAGATAGATAGATAGATAGATAGATAGAGATAGATAGATAGATAGATAGATAGATAGATAGATAGATAGATAGATAGATAGATAGATATAGATGGATGATAGTAGATAGACAGATAGTAGATAGATGATGGATGGATGGATAGTAGAGAGATAGAGAGAGATGATAGATAGTAGATAGATGGTAGATGATAGATGGATGGATGGATGGATAGATAGATGGATGGGAGGGAGGGAGGGAGAGAGAGAGAGAGAGAGACTAAATAAGTAAATTGTCTTTTTTTACCATACACACTGTCAAATTCACGTACTGCTTCACATGCCTTCCACAACTCTTACCAACACCCTGGAGTTCACCTTATTACACCTCCCTTCTTCCTCAGATAAGTTTGTCAAGAAAAAGATTGAAAAGGATAGCAACATCAAACTTGCAGAATTGTCTCTTGCCAACACTCTGAATAGAAGGCTGAGCTTTTATTAGCTGCGGGGAGGGGAGAGAGAGCACACCAACAAAACACTCATTCTAACGTAATATTTTGGGTCACTCAAGCACACTGGGCCAAACTTCTTTCACTTCCTAAAATCAGGTTTGAGAAATTTCTCAACTTGGATCATGTGATTTCTTGAAGGTACACGGAAGAATCGGCTCATTGGGGCTCGCTGCAATGTCCCAGTGCCTGCTGAGACAACCAGAGCTTGCCAGAAAGAGGGAGGGAAGAAGAAACAAACAAACCTGTTTGAGGAGGCAGAGAGAGGAAATCCCTTCTTTGCTTTTGCTTTCAATGTTGTAAGCAAGCTTTTATGTTCAGGTTAGAAGGACTGGGTTGGCTCCCGGCCTTCTTCTCTCCTTTTCCTCAGAGAAATTAAGCCAGTGTCCTCTGGCAACCACAACTGTTGACATAATGAAGGCCTGGATTGAACCTCTTGTTGCTGGCGCTCAGCTTGCCAGTGCTTTCTACGACACAGGACTGTTGCTGGTGGTGAAGAACTACTACAACCAGACCAATTCTTCTTCAGCGCATTCCAGCGAGGAGACTCAGCAAAAAGCCATCTCTGACTTTTACATCATCTACTATCTTGTTGATGGGTTAACCCCACTGTTATCAGCTTATGGCTTGGCCAGGTTGGGTGACCGGGTAAATCGGAAGATCAGCATTTGCGTGCCTTTGTCTGGCTACTTGCTCTCCCGTTGCCTTCTACTCCTTTTGGTCTTGTTGGCTTGGCCAATTGAGGTGATGTACGGGGCTGCTGTCTTGCACGGCTTGACTGGAGGATTCACCACGTATTGGGCCAGCATCATGGCCCTGGTCTCCCAGGGCTCATCGGAGAGCAGAAGATCCCTGCGTCTCATCCACATTGAGCTCATCTATGGCATTGCTGGTTTTGTGGGAAGCATTGCTTCGGGACACCTCTTTGTTACTTTCCATCTCGGTTATCAGCATGGTATAGTGCTGATTTCTTGTAGTGTTGCCTTATATGCCTTGTGTGTCATTTACAGTCTGTTTGTCCTCCAAGTCCCCAAGCCTGGAGTTTGCGACCCAGCCACTTCCACCCATGTGGTCCAACCTGACAGCAATTTGGCTAATGAGGAGACTTTACTGTTCTGTAGTTCTGAGAGTTCCTCCCATCTGGGACCTGCCAAGTCCATTATTGTCCTGCTCTTTGTGGGGGCCATCCTATATGACTTGGCCGTGGTTGGATCAATGAATGTGCTGCCACTCTTCTTCCTAAAGAAACCACTGAGCTGGGGACCAGAGTATGTTGGCTATGCCAATGCTGCTGGCTATATGATCTTTATTACCAGCTTCCTGGGAGTCTTTGTGTTTTCCAAGTTTCTAAGAGACACCACCATGATCATGATTGGGATTGTGTCCTTCTCAGCTGGCATCCTTATTATGGCCTTTGTGCGATGGACATTCCTGTTTTACATTGGTGAGTCAGAGCCTTTCCATGCACCTCGCATTAATTCAAGCGACATATTTTGTTTAATTTCATGAAAGATTTATGACTCTACTTTTGTACTAACCTTTAGTCAATTTAAGCTGTAAACTTATTCTAATTTATGTGGAAGTAAACCCAATACACTTTGCTTTTGAATAGGTCTCCTATCTCCAGTCCATGGACTGCTACCGGTCCGTGGCCTGTTGGAAACTGGGCCGTGCAAGTAGTGTGTGAGCGCACAAAGCTCCATATGCATATTTGTGGGATTGAGTTGCACGCACGAAACTATCCCCTCTCTGCCACTGCTACTCTCCGTTGCTGGTCCCAAGAGCCGGAAAGTTTAGGAACTGCTGCTCTATAAGGCTGCACGGATGTGACTCCCATTGCACTTCCACGTAGGATCTGCAAGATCATTAACTGAATCAGATGCTCTATAGTTGTACAAATATCAAATTCTGCAGCAATCAAACCCATTCTTCTGATATTTACAATACATTATGCAATTGCATAGGGTGCTATGCTGTGTAATTTATTTAACTTCTCCTAAACCTTAGGAGCGGGGAAAGGTCATAGACATCTGAAACCTCCTCTTTCATAATTGACATTTCTCTATGCTCTTAGCCTTTTCAGTGGCTTTTTAAACCACACACTGTCTGCACACTTCCAAGCACGTTTTTGTGGCAATGGGGGCTAATAGAAAGTTGTTCTTTCCTCAGATGAAAATTAAATTTCTCAAAAAGCTAAATTCTTTCCTGAAGACCACATTCTGCATCACCTCACCATTCACAAAGCAGCTGAAAGGGGTAAAAGACAAAATTAACAGATGCTTTAACTCTCATAATTTCCAGGGAGCGCACATCGGAAGGGCTTCAGAGGACAGAATAAAATATACTATGGGTAGTATAGTACTATGGGTACTATGGGCGACTTAAAACCATTAGTTTAGTGACCATTCAAAAATACAATGGCACTGAAGAAAGTGACTTGTGACCATTTCTTACACTTACAATTGTAGCCCGAGGGAAGCCATTTTCGCCCTCCCAGAGAACTGAGGGAAGCCTCCAGACCCTTGGGAAAGCGAAAAGTGGCCCTCCCAGAAGTACCAGAAGTCCAGAAATGAGCCTGTTTCTGGCTTCCGGAGGGGCTCCAAAGCCTGGGGGAAGCCATTTTTGCCCTCCCAGAAGCCCAAATGAAGCCTCTGGACCCTTGGTAAGGCGAAAAACGGCCCTCCCGGAAGTTCCAGTAGGCCACGCCCACCCGGCAACTAGGCAGTGAACCGGTTACTGGGATTTTTGAATTCCACCCCTGCCCCGTCCCAGAATATAAGCACTGTCTTTGATATTTCATAGAGCATTGTCTAGTGGAAAACATCTATTACTTCTCATTTAATAGGCTAAACTGTTGTTATTATAGCTGTAATTGTTACTCTTTGCCTGCATTACATCTGGAGATTATAATATACTTCAGAGAGGTTGGCTTTTAGAGCCTTACGCTCCGGCTTACCCTGACCAATTGATTTCTCGCTGTCTTAAGAATGCAACTCTCCTCATCGTTTATCCAACAAACAAGACAAAGTTGAGGAAAACAGCCTTAGTTGCTCGCCAAAACATGAAGCTGAGGCTTCCCATTTGTGCTTTTTAAAACAGCTACACTCTGATCTCCCTTAAAAAGGCTGGGCGTTTGTCCTGACCATTCTGCATTCTGCTCTGTTACAGCTCGTGCTATGATGCTCTTTGCCCTCATTCCCCTGCCAACCATCAGATCTTTGTTATCCAAACATGTTGAAGCTTCAACCTACGGTAAGAAACAGTTCTGTATTTATTTCTTTGGAAAACATTGACTTTCAGAATAAGCTGACTTGAGTTTATTCCTATCAGTTGAGTTGGTATCACAGAAACATATAGTAATCCCAGTTGGATGAGTCAGAACCAAATTCTTACACTTACCTGTAAGACTATTCTATGAGTATCAATGCCTTAGGCTTTGACGAAAGCTTTCAGGTGTTGGAGGCACATACCTTTCCTTCCATAATTTAGAAAATGTCATGGGTGATTCCACATTGTCTGATTTACAAGGAGGGCTGATTTGAAAGCACCTTTAGAAAAAGGCTTTCTGTGGACTATTTTGGATAGAGACTTATGAAAAGTAGCAGCCGTAACTTTAAGCTTTCAGTTTAACTTTCACACAATGGGCCACTGAAGGGAAATGTTAAAATATGGTTTGTGGCTGCCCAGCAGAAAAATTCTAATACATGCACCAATTTTGGATCCTGCCAGACTGTTGGGATGTCATCATATGCTGCCACCAGTCTAGACTTTCTAGAGGCATCTCATTTGCCTACATTTGATGGAAACAAGACGTTGGAGAAATATGGCCCAATCTAATAAAACATTTCTTTTTCCAAAAGAATAACCCATGGAAATACAACAACCAACTAGGATTTGGGCTACAGTTAGTTGGTCATTCAAAGCTCTGGTATTTTCTATGAATCCAGAAACCCAAATCATCCCCCAAATAAAGCCAACAGTATCTTCGATTAATTAGGAGTTATTTAAACTCACTGAGTTAGGTTGAACCAACCTAGAAGAAAGGGTTATCTCACTTTTTTGACTTCACAACCTAGATCTGAGAATCAAGGAAAAACACCCTGCTTTAAGGGCAGGGGGTTGAAATGGGGACAACAAGGATTGGACAAGCGTTGCCTCTCCCCATCCTACTAGCAGTAACAGTTGGGAAGGAATAACTTCCCAACTGCCATAAAAGAGAGCAGAATGCTCTCTGAGATAGTACTATACACCCGTTAATCCTATATCAAAATTCTAAACCTGTTATAGTTCCAAGTTCCAATTCAAAGGAAGTTCCACTTGATAGGGTCTTCCATTATGTAATATTAGTTCCTGAAATCAACATAATTATTGCCTACATTATAATTGGCTACAGAATTCGTTTCTAGCACTAATCTGATGTTGTTTGTCCTATTTATAGTAAGCAACCACTGCATTCTGGCAGCAACAGCCTGTTTACAGAATGACAAACGTTCAAACTGGTTCAAGAAGTTCAGAAATGATATATATAAGGCGTTTATGCAATACAGTAAATGTTGGATTCCACTTACTTACTTCTCTATATTTGAAGCAATCCAGCAGGTGCACTTTAACCTTTCACAAATTGAAATTAAAAGGTGCTCTCCAGCCGTTACTACATTGTAATTACATTTTAAAAACAAACAGATTAGCTACATAAATTGTAAGTGATCTGGATTCTGCTAGAAATATGCCCTACATTCTTTTTCATCCAATCTTACATCTGGTCTCTTTTTTCCCCTAGGAAAAGTGTTTGTCCTTCTGCAACTGTCATTGGTGATCACTGGAGTTGTGACATCAACAGCCTATAATAAAATTTACCAACACACCCTGAGCTGGTTCAGTGGTTTCTGCTTTCTTCTGTCATGTGCCATCAGTTGCCTAAGTCTTATCCCTATCAGGTAAAGTAAACTGAGGGCAAGCTGAACTTTTTAAGGATAAAGCTGATTTTCCTTATCTGTATGTCCCTGGATTCCTAAGATTTGTTCAACAATCTAGGTCAAAAAATTTTTTCAAATTCCTGAAACAAGCGGCTGGCCTTGGATCAATGTAATTCATTATGATGAAACCACAACCATGCCTCTTGGGAGGTCATAATCTGCTGTCCAGTCTGTTTTAAATTATGTACTATAGAACACTTGAGGATGAAAAAGAGCTGAGCAAAATTAATGTGCTACGTAAGAGCTGAGGACCCTGAGTATTGCCATCTCTCCAAATTTCCATATATCTTCAAGAAGATGGCAATGTTTGTGTCATTGTGGACTCCATACTGCAAATGCTCTCACTGAAATGGGGTTGAAGTTTGGCCAGAGGAACCACCACACTATCCTTTGCACAAACACTCATTTTCTTTAGGAACGTCCACAGAAAGTTTTTAGCCCCTTTTTTTGATGTATTTGTTTCTGGTGGGTTGTGCTTTACTTGCGGAGTTTTGTATCTCAGACATTTTATTGCAATACTGGTAATAAAGGTTGATTTTGAGAAAGCCTGTCTGTGGAGATTCTCAATCATACAGGTCATGATTGTCTCAGAGGTGCTTTTCCAAATGGCAACTGGACTTCCTTGATTTTTTTTTTCTTCTTGAAAATGTTTTGCTTCTCATCCACGATAAGAGCAAAAGAAGCTTTTGGATAAGACGCAAATCATTTTCAGGGGGAAAAAAAACCAAGAAAGTCCAGTTGGCTTCTGGAAAAAGTATCTTTGAGAAAGCAAGGGGTTTTTTTTTTTCCTTCTCCCGGAGCAAAACTACTTGAGGTAGCCTTGGGTCAGCTGCCAAAAGATTGTCCAACTTCAAGGAAATAAAACATTGGGTATTTCAAAAATGTAGGTGAGACGTTCAACCTTGGAAGCGAATAACTTTCCTCCCCTTACTTCCTTTTCTCTCCCTTGCAGTTTTGTCGCCTACAAGCAACGGGCACCATCTGATTTAGCAGAGAGATTAGCCAACCAAAAACAACTGTCGACTTCAGAAGCAGCTCTATAGAACAAGCTGGAGCAACCAGACAGACTGACTACATGAAAGACAGCCTTGTTACTAATTATGCCATTAGAGATATTTAGTTCTAGTCTTTCCTGTACTCTTCCGTGTATGAATAGGCTGTTAAAACAGCATAAGGAGAGCAACTGAAAACCATGTACGGGCTGGAAGGCATGCGGTTCTTGAATGATGATGCTTTGGAATCACATTTCATTATTTCTTCCTATTGTCCATTCAGGATATGTTTGTTCACCTATCCCCTTTCCATCTACAATCCTTCCAGCAAATAGTCAACGCATTCATGTTTTAAAGCAAAATATCCTTCCCTGGGAATCCTCAGAAACACCCATTCCCCATATTTAGTCTGATATTCCCCCTAGTTGGTCTAGAATAGATGGTCTCCCAACTCATAGGATCCTTGTTCCTTAAATCTCAGTGCAATATCCAGTTTCGGGGTGATGGATTGGAATGCTACATATGCCTATAATGACATTTGCACTCCGGTGTTTCAGTGCTCCAGCTGGTTATTTCACAAGGCTCAGGTCCTCAAGACCAGACAGTGAAGATAGAAAGGCAATGAGCAGATTACCTAGCTAAGGCATGAAATAAAACACGAGATAGACAATTCTACTTAGGGCAGAACTTTCAACATACCGAGGTCCATACACCGCTGGATATTTAGTTATTTTTAACATAATAATAAATGAATGGGAGGCTTGCATACTGCATAACCAAGTGACAATCTGTAGAAGTACCTTTAGCCATAAGGCAGCCTCTGGACCTCTTCTAAGTATTTGCTGAAAAGAAAAATGGTGAGTAACTGCAATCCAGCTATTTGTTTGGAAGTGTGCACTCCTCCTAAGACAAGAAAAGTGGGATGAAACATAGCACATGTACTGAGGGGAGTCTAGGATAACTCGCTGCAGGTAGCTCACAACAGCCAGCTTGCCACCCCCATCTTGTCTCCGCCAACAAACCACTGCTAAGTTGCTGCAGGGCAACTCCATCCTGGGGACAGCTCGCCGTGGGCAGCTGGAGACCCAGGTGGGAGAGCGAGTGAGCAAATGGGCAGAGCACAGAGCACATCAGGATGGTTGGCGGCAAAGCAGTGGCAACCAGGGGCTTCACATTTTCCCACCCCCTGCCACTGCCGTTGCTGCTACTGCCGCCCATACCCAGGAGTGGAGCTGGTGCTGTTATTGCTGCTACACCAAAGGTGGGTATTCAGCAGGTTCCGACAAGTTCTGGAGAACCGGTAGCGGAAATTTTGAGTAGTTTGGAGAACCGGCAAATACCACCTCTGACTGGAGATTTTACACTATCCTTCCCCTGCCACGCCCACCAAGCCACACCCACAGAACCAGTAGTAAAAAAAAATTGAATCCCACCACCGCGCTACACCCAGCACGAAGTCCAAGTGGTAGCATTGGCGGCAGCTCCATGCCCAGCAGGGGGCAGCAGCACCAGCACCTCCATGCCCAGCAGGGCAGCAGCATTGACCTGTGAGGTGGGTTGGATCAAGAGAGAGTGAGTGGCCCCATCTCACCCAGCCAGCTTCTATGTCTAAGGTGAGACTAGAACTCCCAGTCTCCTGGTTACTTACTGGGAGCAAGCCTGAAGTCAAATTCCTGGGGTTTCAGCATGTCAGACCATCTCAGTCTATATCTATTTGCTCAGCTGTGAACTTTGCTGAATACCATTTGGCTTATTTCTGATTAAACCTCCACAGAAGAGCTTGTGGTTTGATGAAACAGAGATGTTGATTTTTAAAGGTATTATTTGCCTCTCACAGGTCTGTGCTAAGAAGTGGTTTTGCGAAATTTGGGGATGTTGCTTCACAGATAAATCCTTGTGGAGGGCAAATGAAAAGGCTGATGGTTGCCCACCACTGATCCCCATTTACTATTGTGGAAACACACCTTTTCTTTCTCCCCAATAGCAATAGTTCCTTGGCATTTTTTTCTATTTTCTTTCCGCTGAATCCAATGCAAAAGAAAATAATCTCTTGGCTCATACAATTGCCAAGAATTGGACATGACTGAATGGATAACATCATCATCATCACAAAAAATAATATTTAGAATTATTTTGACTTTGTTACATTTATATTAAAAAAAAACAGTGTCCAGGACATCATTTTGTTGGAAATATAATAAAGATAATGCTTCTTTAAAACATATAATTTTATTATGTTCTATACTTCACATGTTTTGAGAGAAAGTAGTGGACTGTATAAATGTACAAGAAAAACTAAAATTAATTTGAACTATATGCCTAGTATATGGAACCTAAGTATGTAAATGGATTCTTTATGCTCTTACTATGGTTAAAAGTTTTTGCACCATTGCAAAGATAAATCTACAGGTAGTCATTACCTCAATGGAGCCTGCCCATTATGGTCTTTGTTGTGGCAATTACAAAACATGCATGTAACTGACATGATTTCATAACCTTTTTTTGCTATGCTTGTTAAGTGAATGTAAAGCTGTCAAGCGAACTGTGGTTTGTTAAGCTGTGGCCATTAAGTTAACACCACAGTTGATAACCAACCCAATGATTTTCTATGGGTGGGTTTTGCCAAAAACTGGAAGTGCCGCTTTTCAACAAAACCATCATAAAACCCAGCCCATGATTGTGGGATGTGCTAACGACTGTTAATGCAGCCATGTTGCTGAGCACCTGAAGTTTGGTCATGTGACTGTAGAGAGGGCCCAACTGTTGGAACTTTGAATTTCATTTGTAAGTTCTCTTTTTCAAGTTACCCCATAACTCTGAAGTGATTAGTTGTAAGTCTACCTGCATGGCCCCATTTATTCATTAAGCTAAATTCCTGTTACACTTGCCACCTATGATAATATTGCCTTTAGACATAGATTTTCTAAGGACAAGTATAATGAAATATGGAACTCATTTGTACAATAAGTTAAAAACAATAGTGATATTATAACAATGGTTTGAGCAAGGTGACCATTCTCTCAAGTTCAGAGCTCTGAAGCTGCTGGAGATTGCTAACATGTGTTCTCCTCACGAGAAGCAACTATCTGGAGCATTTGTGGGCAAACTCCCATCCTCTCTTTGTCCAGAGAGTCAAAGAGCCAGTCAATATTCACTGGCTCTTCATCTTTTGCTGTGTACATCAACTCTGCTTTTTATGAAACAATCTTCAGCCCACCCTGTTTTCCTCTGAAAGGCACATCTGTAATTTCCAAAGCATAAGATCTGTACATGCTTCTTATGTAATGGCTAATAATGGCTAATGACTAATCTATTCTTATTTATATATTAAGTTTATATCTTGCCACCATCGAAGCTTTCCAAACTTTAATCAAGGATAAAAATAAAACAGATGTAGATGAAGGTGGACTTTAAACTCATCAATAGATGTTGATGAATTACACAAACACCTGCCAAATAAACAAAACAAAACTACTAAATGTTTCAGGAGCAGTAATTTAGACTCAGGATTGGAGGACATCCAGAGAGAAATGCATCATCCTAAGAATAGGAATAAACTTGGGACTAAATTATTTGAGTCACTTTTCCATACCTCCTCCCAGCCACAGGCCAGCAAAAAACATTATTTTTTAATTTACATTTTTTTTTTTCACAGAACAAAAGACAAAGGGAAAAAAGGAAAGAAAGAAAAAGTGGAAAAAATTTAAAAAGAGAAGGAAAATAAACAAAGTTAAGAAATATGAAAGCAACATTGGGGGCCCAGCAGATACATTACTTACTGAGGCATCTTCATACCATTAAGATATAAATGGGGAAGAAAGACCCTTTTTCTCTTCATTCACCCTTTACTCAAAAAGCAACTGTATTAACTAAAGTATATTTATGAACTTTAAAAAAAAATCCCAAGGTTATAAGAACAGGAATAATTCCCAGGTTGCTAAGGCAACGGTGACATGTCTCCCATTGTGACATCTGCCTTTCCTGGTTCATTTATTAACTGGAAGCCTTTTGTGAGTTGTGAGACGGCTGCATTTCTTTCCTGTTTTGCTGGCGGCACTCATATTTGCTCTATTTTGGGTAAAGAACTCTTTGTATTTAGAGGAGAGAATATATTACTATGGCAAAGAGGTGCTACAGCTGTGAAAGGCTCTATGAAACGTACAGCAGCCATAATCATCAACTAGCCCTTAAAATCTCCCCCCCCCCCCCCCAAAAAAAAACCCTCTCCCCAATTAGAAAAGTTCATTTGTGGGAGAGGCAGGGGGTAAAGTAGAAAGGAAAAAATATCAAATCTAAGGCATTTGAGGTAATATTCACTGAATCTAATACTCCTCACCTGGAATGTTCTTGTGTGTTTGTGGGTGAGTGCGCTTTTGTGTTACATTGCTTGGTGGATGATTTTATTGTCCTGTGAATTTTCTCCTGATTTGTATTAGGACCAAAGAGCAATACTTCTTTCTCCTAGACCACTTCTTGAAGGGAAAGAAGAATAAAGCCTAACATTCAGAAATGTAAGTACAATATGTTAATATTCTGTGTGTGTGTCATGGCAGGGGTCTCCAATCTTGGCAACTTTAAGACTTGTGGACTTCAACTCCCACAGTTCCTCAGCCAGCAAAGCTGGCTCTGTCATGGTATGTGTAGTCATCTATCCTCTTGTACAACGGAGAGACTTCCACTTGACAAGTTATCTGGTACAAAGCCGGTGATAAAACAAAAATGGAAGAAAAAGGGTTGAATTTTCCCATCAGAATTTAGAACCATGAACCGGTTAGCAACAGAAATTTTGTGCTCAGTTGTGGTTGAACATTGAGAACTGACTGTACTCCGAACTGACAATGTATTGTACAATGGCTGCCCTCTGCCAGAATGTACACATCAACAAAATGAATTTCAAATAGTCTTCTTTCCTTCCCTCTTCTTGCAGCAGTGACATGAATAGTTACCGTATTTGCCGGCGTATAAGACGACTGGGCGTATAAGACGAGCCCCCAACATTTCCACTCAAAATATAGAGTTTGTTATATACTCGCCGTATAAGACGACCCCCTCACTTGGAGACATGTTTTTCAGGGCAAAAAAGTCATCTTATACGCCGGCAAATACGGTAATGACATCTAGGAAGCAGACAAGAAGGAAGCAAGTGTTCCCAAGCAGTTTTTCTCAACCTCAGCAACTTTAAGGTGTCTGAACTTCAATTCCCAGCATGCAGGCTGGGGAATTCTGGGAGCTGAAGTCCAGACATCTTAATCTTGCTAAGGATGAGAAGCACTAAGATAGAAAAGGCGGGGAGAAGAAGATGATTCAGCCTGTGTGCTTTATGCAGAATATATGATATGCTGGGCAACAAGGAAAGGAAGAAGTGATTCAGTGGAAACAACAAGGAACTTGGAGAAGCCTTCTAGGATTATGGAAAGAATGTTAAAGTTTCCTTACAATTGTAGCAACTTTATTTTCCAGTCTTCATAAGGCTTCCTAACGTTTAAGTCTTCATAATGTTTAAGAATCGCCGTTGAATTCAGAGCTTTTGCTGAAACTCACATGTAGTTCTACCTACTAAAAGGGCAATCAATGGCTGGAATATATTTGAATCCTCTGCATGTTAAATGGGGTTTGGTATAATAGGGTTAACTATGATTTCTGTAGTAAAAGTTTCTGTGAGAGGCATTGGCAAAAGTATGGAAGTAGTGACTCTGTTACCACGCCAGTGAGTCATACAGCATGACTCACTTGACACAAAGCCACATACTGATTTCATTATTATATTCATATAATACTTGTTACAGTATGCCTATGCCACAACACTTGCGATAAATTGATCGAAAGTACCCGATACAACTCTGAATATACAGAGACTGCAAATGATAATAAACACAAGCCTGAAAACTACGAGTCTTGGATCGGCACTTTAATACAAACTTACTCGTACTTCGCACCCATTTAAAACATGCACCGAAGACGCCCCTCCCAATGAGCAACGCTCCAAAGCGCCTCGGAGTTCAAGCTCTGCGGAATTCCGCTAAACGCTTTTCCTGTCAGGAACCGGTGCGAACTTGCGCGAAACCCACAGAGGCTTTAGAGACCGAACTTCGCGGTCTCGCAAGTGGCCTTCCCCGGCTCAAGCGGGTCTCTTGCCTTAGCTCGACTGGCCGGGAAAGGAGCTACTGACCTGGCATTATGCCGGCAAGGCGGGAAGCGTCTTTGTCCCGCAGCTGGCGAGCCCTGCCTTCCGCGCTGCCTAGGGGGCGTCTCTCGAGCCTTCCGAGAAGCTAGGAGGCCCCCCGTCTGCGCGGCTCTGATTAAAGGACGGCCTCGTCCTCGCGACTTTCCTGCAAGCCTACCAGAAGCTGCGGAGGAGGAAGTGGGATAGGAGCCGCCACCTGGCCAGCAAGTTTCTTTCCTCCCCGCTTGTCCTCCCAAGACCTGGCCTGGGGATTGGAAAAGCCGAGTTGAAACTCTCGCATTCCGCCTCGCGGCTGGCTCTGAAGCGTTGCTGTTTTGGATTTACAGAGAGAGAGAGAAACGGAATTCTGTTCCTTCTTTAAGCTTGTTTAAGGCTTGTTTAGGAGACAAACTATGTACCGTATTTGCCGGCGTATAAGACGAGCCCCCAACATTTCCACTCAAAATATAGTTTGTTATATACTCGCCGTATAAGACGACCCCCCCACTTGGAGGCATGTTTTTCAGGGCAAAAAAGTCGTCTTATACGCCGGCAAATACGGTAAGTACATCCCTCTTGCAGATGTTGGTTTATTGCAGGAAAGTCCACAAAGTCTTGCGGCCTCTGGAAAAATGTTACTGATCATAAATAAAATTAATTGGGTGATTCTGCATAAACAAGGGAGTTGTTCCCTCTGGGTTGCCAAAAAACAACTTCTAGATGGCAGCAAAGAATTAGCATTTCTTCATAGTCACCTAGCAGCCACGTTGAGATACGCAGCCCAGATATAACATAGGAGAAGGAACACAAAGATGTCACCACTTATTATATCGAAACAGATTGCAGCTTTTTTTTCCTGAGTGATTGATTGACAATGAGGCATGAAATTTGGAAAACGGAGAGGTGGCATTTTAGTCCAGAACTAACAATAACTGTTCTCGTGTATTTATTTTACCTAGTTACTTGTTTAATCCATTTATATGTCTGTCCCTCTCACAACAGCAAGACTTGGGTCACACATAAAGTTCAAAGATCCATAAAGAACAAGCCACTAGCAATCACAAAAGACAACAACAACAGAATGGCAACCAGGATAACTCCAACAGTTCCCATAACAATTGTAGCATAACAATCCATCTCATGTATCGTTAATAGATGACTATTCCAAAAGGATAGACAAATCCTAACAAAGCAAGTTCTCAGAACGAAACAAAATTGTATTTCATCTGAAATAATAGCAATGTCAGGATTCCGGCACTTAACCCCATTTAAATCATAATCTTGAGACAAACTTCCAAAGCTTCAAAAGGATTTATTGGGAGTTAATGGTGTGGTATTGCCTGGGTGTAGCTGACTCTGAGACACATAATTCATTATCACCCTTGCCCTGTTTTTTTCCCCACCCCCTGGGTGTATCGTAATTTATATTCTCCAATGGGGCATATCCGTAGCCAAGAGTCATCAATCATGCTCTCCAGTCAGATTTTTTCGAGCAGAAACTTTGGTCACCTAGTTACTATCTTTAAAAACATTTATGGAATGCAGTTTCGGTTTTGCAAGCTGCTGCACTGCTCCCCCCTCCCTTTCTGTTGGTCACTCTAAAAAGTCCAGAGAAATATTTTGGGTTGACAAGCAGTAGCACCTAGACTTACGGTATATACCACTTCACAGCCCCCTCTAAGCGATTTACAGAGTCAATATATTGCCCCCAACAATCTGGATCTTCACTTTATGACCTTGGAAGGATGGAAGGCTGAATCAACCTTGAGCCGGTGAGAATTGAACTGCTGACATTCAGCATTGCATTCTAACAACTTCACCACTATGGCTCTTATAATGATTGAATCAAACCCCCTCAATAAAACAATTGGATCAAACCCCCAATGCTTGCATGCTGAATGAGCTCAGTTTCTGACCGTATTAACTGCTGGATAAGAAACAGTGGTTTGGAGCAGAGAGTAGAAAAGATAGATTGGAGAATTGCTGTCCAAGAGAAATAGAAGCTCTTTAATAAACTGCAATGCACAAGAGGCCCATGAAAGTTTGAGATAGTTCAGATTACTGGTAGCGTGTCCAAGAGGGCATTGCTAAACCCTCTCTTTCTCATTATCTGTTCAGGCTAGAAAGGCTTCGGATCCTCATTCAAAATAGGAATGCCAATGTGGGAGCCACAGAAGAAGGGAACAACTGCAGCCCGGAACGACGGCCAGCCACTTTTTCAGCTTCTGCCTCTGAAGGCGGCCAACGCACAGGAAGCCGACCAAGGTCACCAACAAGAGGCGTGGAGAAATCGCCAACAAGATCCCGGGCGTTTCACTTTTGTCGAGCAAGCAGGGACACTTCAATCAGCGATGGGGAAAAAGTTAGAACATTCTGGACCTGCTGCAGTAATTGTAAAATCAGTCCCCAGGGTTTCAAACCACAGGCAGAAAAGCAACAAACCAAACCATGTTCCAAAAGTGACCAGACGGATAATTATTCCAAACAAGCCAACTCATTCGCGATCAGTGTCGCCACAGAGAGCACAAATACGAGGCGATCTGATACTACAAGTAAGAGGAGCCTAAGGTATAAGGGGAAAGGGAGCAGCAGGTAAAGGGAGCGGAAGCCAAATCTCATTTGGGAAAATGGAGGCAATCCTAAAATGTTCCCCATTTCTATTGGCTCAAGTAAATGGAATTTTAGAGATCACCTCTGAGAACGGGGTGGGCGGCACCTTACTAGCCAGATAGTTAGCAGATGTTGAGGCAGGGACAAAATTAGGCCCAGATTATGGTTATGTTGTCTTGCGTGGTCCTTGGAGCCCTGGACATCACCAGCACTGAAGATGTTACCTAGTTTGGGTCTACAAGAAAATAGCCAAGCTCAGAGAATACCAAGGACCTGTCATTTCAACCTTGCATTACAGATATTCTCCTCTATCAGTATATTGTCATTTTTTTAAAAAAAAA